GCACCTGTTAAGGGCCTACCACAAGCCCTATCTGGACCCCAAAACTCAAAATCTGTCAGGTTGCCGGCGGAAAGACCTGAATTGCTCTACTTTTTCCGCGTTTTATTATAATTTTAGTACTTGTACAGAAATGAAGCTTAGAGGGCAATTTTTCCGTGTGCTTTCTCACTCCAGTCACGCTCGCATACCCTTACGTGCGAGCCTACTTATTAAGCAAATGTGGGTGGACTTAGTGCACACAGAACTGGTTTGTTCGGGGATGCAGAATAAAGTTGGTTAGGAAACGCGGTAGCCCCTAATGTCTGGAAGTATGTGGCAAACGATTTGACTCAGACGTGGCTTTATTAATTTACGCACTGCATTGAATATGCACGCGGCTACGTGATAAAGCAGGTAATTTCGGTATGCTTTGATTTTTGATGGTTAATTTAGTCTTAGTAGTACCCAGCCCAGCAAATAATTCCAACGCAGTGTGTGCCCCCACTTTTTATAGCCTGGTCTTCAGGGTCTGGAACACGAACATTTTTTGGCCTGTGTTTTTGGATGAGGGCAGACGTTATAAAAGCTACTGATGTTTGCCAATGTGCTGAATGAATTAATAAAGATAGAACGCCTGAGGCAAACCGTCTGCCAAATACTCCCACCAAGAACTAAGGTGTTGAAGCTGTATTTGGCTGAGGCGTCCGCAGAACAAAGACAAGCTGTCGGCACGGGCCTTTCCTGCGAACATTACTTCTCCTATAGAGAAAACTGCATCTGTCCAAGCAGCATACCCAGGAAACCAGCAGGCCACTAAGTACACGCCAAAGAAGCGCCGGGCATCGGTGATATATCAAAACCGCTAGGGCAACGTTTACTAGTGAATGCGTATGTGACGATGATCAGACTACGGAAACCAATCCCCTGCACAGCAGAAAAGAACCGCATACAAGTGCTTCAGCTACCATGGCCGTTGAAAAAAGGGGACGCAATAGGCCAAGTCTGCAACAGGCCTTTCGTCTGCATACAATTCATCCGCCACCCGCCGTTTCTAACCACCATCCGGAACCGCAGTTCTATTTTGCTTCAGTAGAAACGAACTCCGGGAAGCTGGCTAGGCGTCCAAATACTTCATCAAACTAGCCACTGAAAAACACGTTGGCCCGGAAGTCATCAAAATAGGGAAGCTTTGATTTTAGGGCAGAAGTTGACCTACCAGGAATCTCCGTGTAGGCATCGCTACCAGAATAAGTGGGTTCAGCCATGGAATAGACACCAGTCTCCGTATTGACGCCTCCTGCTGTGGAGGGCAGAATTTCGGCGGCGCTGTAAGGACCGTTAGCGGGATCGCCTGGAACTTCGTTTGGGTACCAGTAAACTCCCTCGTAGACAGCGTCCGCCGTAGCCTAGAGGGAGAGAGAGGATGAGCTAATTAACACCAATCTGGGCGTCAAAATTGGTGATACATGTTTAATTCAGATTAGTTGGCGAGCATATGTAAGCTTTCGATAAATTCCCGTCCGGCCAGTATGGGAATAGGGTGGAAGATAAAACATGCGGTCACTAGTGATCGCCTTTTCATAAAAGTAAATCGTAGTTGCAGAGGTCGTTAAGAAGAGGCGGGGGGTTTGTTGAAGGCGAACCAGGGGAAAGCGGGAGAGGAAGCACGGAAAAAGTGCACGCAGTTAAGTTATCGTTGGCCATGCCAAGCGAGGAGCCTGTAGGAGGTCCTTCTGTGCACACAAGATTGGCTTTTTCAACCGAATAGCGGTTGTGTATGCTGTTACTAGCAGATGTTGACCCAGGGACTTTGTGTAATTTGATTGGACCTTTTAAATCATCCGGAAGGCTTAATTGTGGTCTACACGATACATGGAATCAAAAATTGCGCTGGTTATGCTCCTGACTTCACCTTTTCTCAGCCATTCCGGGAGGTTCCCTTAATTTTTCGGATAGGCGCCGACTCGTATGACCAATATATTCTGCTCTAAAGAAGTAAGTAAAGGAGTAGGTGCACATGAAGGTGGTCTAACCTGCTAACTTATCGTTACCTTCCCGGTGCAAGACCGGGTTAGCTGACAATAATACCCAAACTCTCGCTACTGAGAAGGTTCGTGACAAGGCTTGATCAAGGCGTCCATTCAGGAATTCACTTGCCACATCCCCTTGAAAGGGGACTTTCATGAATAATGGTTTGTTTTCCGCAGTAAGTGTAGTGGGTCTTACATGTCTCGCAACCATATTTTTTGTAATGAAGCACTCAGGATACTGGTTCTTGCGAACCAGATTCTGTATTTTCTTCCGCTCCTCCAAAATACTGTTTACCGAGCAAATCTTCCTAGCCCGTTGCGTTAACCAGAGAACCAGAGTTTGTTTCTGTTGGATGGATACACAACTGTCTAAGTTCGTATATTCTCCAGAGCAGGTTTTCTTTTTTGTTTACTTTGTACCCCGTCCTCATATAAATGTAATGACCCAATGATAATTTATCGAAAGCCTACGTATTTTCGCCAACTACACTTTCGAAATGCTTACTCATTGAATAATACTGATCTATTCCGGTAGTTAAACGAAATAAAATAAAATAAAGTACGAATGTTACAGAAGACAATTTAAGGCGATAGGACAGGTAGACCACTGGTCGTGTGAGGTGGATCATAGTTTGTTTGTGAGCGGGGTGGGGTAGGGACGGAACAAGTACGGCTCTCTCGGTCGGAGGGGGGAGGCGGATGGTGGGTCAGATGAGGTCCGGGTAACTGGGTTAACTGTCGCTGTTGCGTGATTAGAACACGGAACAGTAAGCCGTGATCATAGGCCATCGTATTGGGCGTTCCAGTCAACACGGCGGTTGATACTACCCACATTAGATTACTGAGCTTCGAGAGATTCCAGCACTCACTTTGTGTTCGCCATCACAACGACCTCAGTGTCATCCCAATTAAGTACATGGTCGTACTCGATTGCGTGTACCAAGACGACGGACAAGGGGTCCTGGCGACGAAATGCTAATTTATGTTCTTTCATACGGATGCTCTGGACTCTTTATGTGTCATCCGCATACACACAAGAGCAATTTGCGCCCGATGTGGGATAAATCGCATATGAGTGTTGTTCCTTTGGGATAGGATACTTTATATGTGAAAGCGCTGCGCGTAATTAAGATGTTGGTTTGTGTGAGATGTGGATATCTAAGCGAGTTAACTGTTGGACGAATACTTCAGAAGTTTCCTGATTATTAGGCAGGAATTATAATTTCTGTCTTTATTGCTCCGTAGAGGTTGGGGGCTCGCAATTGTGCTCGACGCCTGAGACAGTTTTTTACAGAAGCGAAATAAAATAAAACAACCGATACTCGTATTTATATACGTACCCATGCGAGGTGCAATTAGTGGGATCCACGGAGGGCCAGCAATGAATAACCTATGCAGTCCAGATTCACGAAGTGGCCAACAAAGAGAAAAAGTTTATTCACGGAAGTGGAAACTTATAGTAAGATCGGTGAATAATCACCCAGAATTCCAGCCCCAAAAAATTAACAGGAATCACACACCACCAAGGTCTGGGGGTTTATAGGAGGTAACGCCCTAAAAGGATAAGAGAGGAATCTTACTTTTTCGGGACCGATGATGACAATCTCGGAAATGATGAGATGGAACAGAAATTCAGAGCTACAAT